GGCAGCTAGTTACCTACAAGGGAGTTCCCATAAGGCTGTCAGCTGATTTCTCAAAAGAAACTTTGCAGGCCAGAAGGGAGTGGCAAGAAATATTCAGAGTGATGAAAAGCAAGAACCTACAACCAAGATTACTCTATCCTGCAAAGCTGTCATTTAGAATCAATGGCCATATAAAGACTTTCCCAGACAATAAAAAGTTAAAGGAGTTCATCACCACCAAACCATTATTATATGAAATGTTTAAGGGTCTTCTTGAAGAAAAAGATAAAAAATATGAACAAACAAAATGGCAATGAATACATATCTATCGACAATGGAATCTACAAACAAAATGAACAGGTAGAACAGAAACATTCTCATAGAAACAGAGAACATTTTGTTGGTTGCCAGCTGGGAGGGGGTTGGGGGAATGGGTGAAAAAGGTGAAGGGATTAAGAAGTACGAATGGGTTGGTAGACTGACAAACCTCAAAGAGAAGGGGTTGGGGGGGTGGGAAGAAATAAACCAAAGAACTTATATGCATAACCAATGGACACAGACAACAATGTGGGAAAAGGCGGGAGGGGGGCGGGAGTGGGGAGGAGGGGGTCAGTAGTGGAAAAATGAGGAACATCTGTAATACCTTTAACAATAAAGATATAATTTAAAAATAATAATAATAGTAAAGAAAGTATCATGGAGACCGGGTTCTTTCTTCAGTCCCTCTCAAAATGTCTTAATAGCTGGGGAATGGATCTGCCCCACCCTTCGAATCAAGTTGCCTACCTTGCTGATACAAACCACAAATGTGCTTTAATATTTTTAGTCCCCTTCCCATCCTATACACACAAGGCTGGCGGACTCATTTCTCTGTTTTTGTTTTTGTTTTTTTTCCCCCAAGGCTGGGTTTACTCCCTTTAGCTACAGGAAATCTGTCTGCCTATCGTTTGACAAGCGGCTGTGGTATCTTGCCAGGGGGAAATAGCACTCCTGAAAATGTCAGATTCATGTGCTTCTTTCTCTTAAATATTGCCCAACATCAAACTTAGTGAGCTAGCCTATTCATTCATCCAACAGATATTTATTGAGAATCTGTTATATACAAGATGTTATGATAGGGGATGCAGGGATATGCAGAAATTTTTGGTAATCAAGACAGATTAAAGTTTAATAAGTAGTTTAGGGATAGAAGTGAAATAATTTTAAGGGGAATTGCAAGTACCATAAACTATATAAAATGTTTTAATTCTGTGGATCATGACCCAATAATGGGTCATGAAATATATTTAGTGGGTTTGTTACTACTTTTTATTTATATTTATTTATCTTATCCTCACCCTGGATATGTTTTCTATTGATTTTAGAGAGAGAGAGGAAAGGGTGGGGGGAGAGAGAGATATCAATGTGCGAAACTTCCAGCAGTTGCCTCTTGTATGTGCCCCTACTGGGGATCAAACCCACAACCTAGGTATGTTCCCAGACTGGAAATCAAACTTGAAGCCTTTTTAGTGTACAAATGACGCTACAATCAACTGAGCCCTTGGCCAGAACTGTTACCACTTTTTAAAAATATTTTTTCTTTATTGATTTGAGAAAGAGAAAAAAACATCGATGAGAGAGAGCACTGATCGGCTGCCTCCTGCATGCCCCCAACCGGGGATCTGGCCCACACCTGGGCATGTGCCCTGACTGGGAATCCAACCAGTGACCTCTTGGTGCATGGGTCAACGCTCAACCACTGAGCCACACTGGCTGGGCAGGGCTTAAAAATTTGAACTAGAATATAAAATACCAGTACTTGAATATACTAAAGAAATTTTGTAAAATTTTTATTTGCTATATTGTTTGTATTGGAGTTGCACTGTAAAATATATATATATATATTTTTATCCTCACCCGAGGATATTTTTCCATTTTTTTGTACAGATAGAGTGGGAGGGAGAGAGAGGAAGGGAGAGAGAGAAACATCGACGTGAAGGGACACATCGAGTGGCTGCCACCCGCACGACCAACCAGGGCCAGGGACAAACTGCAACCGAAGTACGTGCCCTTAGCGGGAACCGAACCCGGGTCTCTCCAGACCGCAGGCCGACACTCTAACCGCTGAGCCAAACTGTCCAGGGCCTGTAAAATATTTTTTAATGTGGGTTACGTAAAAAAAATTTGAAAGGGCAGGTCAAATAATGCTTCAGAAAAATCAAGAAGCTTTCTGAAGTGAGGTGGCTTTGAACAGTTAGAATTTTGACACGTGGAAGTGGGGTAATGAGAGGAAAAGAGGGCATACCTAATATAGGTAGAATTGGGACCCCAGTCTTGCAAACTAGGTATGCAAGATTGAGTACTAGCTACTCAGTGACAAGGATGGTCTTAAGGCATACCTACAGAAATTTGTGTCCGGGTGGATATGGAGAGTTAAGACCTTTTGATTTCAAGCTATGTTAATAATTAATTGTATTCCCCTAATGGAATACTGATAGCTTATCAGTTTTGGTGGACTTTGGCAGCTCTACCCTTCATCTGGTTGCAAATAAGTGGGAATGCTGGAAATAAGATAGGCCCTGTGGTGGGTGTCTTATCCTGCTTCCCCACCCATCTCTCTGACAGGTGCTTTATTCCCCTGTGTGTAGTACTGACACCTGACCTGAAAAAGCCATGTGATTGCTTTTGGACCTCAGTTTTCAGAGGAGATTCATATCCTTTGTAATACATTTATGACTTTCATACTTTTCAAAGCTCTATGTATTAGAAACATGCTCATTTTACTTAATCTCTGGTAAGTATCTAATTCCTTTTCCTGGAACTTCAAGGACAGGAGGAGTGGTAAAGACTGGACCATTCTTACAGCCCCATTGGAGATGGGATTAAGAAACCCAAATGACCCTGGCAGGTGTTTCTCAATTGGTTGGGAATAGTCCTGTCCTGTGCACCAAAAAGTTGCCGGTTCAATTACTGGTCAGGGTATAGGCAGGGATGCAGGGGTTGGGGTTTTGGACTTGATCCACGATCCACTGTAGGAGGCGTGCAGGAGGCAGCCATGGATATTTCACTCTGTCTCGCTCACCCTTCCTCTGTCTCTAAAAATCAATAAAATGTTCTTTAAAAATAATAATAATAATAATCCCAAATGGATGACCCCCAAATGGATGGCCCTGGCCAAGTAGCTTAGTTTGTTGGAGCATTGTTTGGATATGCCAAGGTTCCAGGTTCAATCCCTGGTCAGGACACATACAAGAATCAACCAATGAATGCATAAATAAGTGGAATAATGAACCAATGTTTTCTCTCTCTGTCTCAAATCAGTACTTTTTTTTTTTAAGTCCTAAAAAAAATCCCAAATGGATGACATAATGTTTGAAAAATACTCCATGTTTAACCAAGAAACACAAATATAAAGGGTTATTACAAAGATGACAGGGCTCTGAGGGAAATTCTGCAAGAGATAATATTATTTTGAAATCGCTTGGAAAATGAGAGTAACATCATCTCACTCCTTACCCAACTGGAGCACTGTAATTGCAGGGTGAGGATAATTGAATTTTACAGAAACCCAAGGTCTAGCTGGCCTCTTCAAGAGTGGCATAAACAATCTGCCTGTTCTGGCTTTGCTTCAGTGCATTTTTTTTCCCCTCCCTACCCAGTCCTGAGGGGTAAGCTGCCATCTAGGTCTGGATTCTTCATCAACTACTCCAGAGATTGTCTGCTTTCCTTTATCATTAATACTGCTGTTGTGGGCTTCCTCTCCCTAGGACCAGCAGAGTGGTATGTGGTATCTCTTACCTGTGCAAATGCACAGAGAGTCAGTGCTAGTTGGGCACCACTCATTGAGCTAGAACAAGAACTTGAGTACTAAGTAGCTACAGTTCTGCCAAAAGGCCCTTCTTTTTGGTCCCTTAGACCCAGGTGGCCAGCTGGCTTAGCTATCTGTAGAGGAAATAATAGTGATGTCCAGCAGAACAGAACAATGAAAGTTTAAAAGGTGGTTTATTTTCTCAAGAAATTAGAATTTCCGAGGGCTGATATCCATCTCTATAGGACTATTCCACATCGAAGTGATTCGTAATAAAACAGTCCTCACGCAAAAATGAACATTTCTCCCAGCTTTGGGTTAAGAAATCTGACTCCTTAGGGAGTGGTGACAACTAGTTGGAAAAGTGAGTGTAATATGGTTTATTTGGCATGTGAACAGGAAATTTTTGTTCTTTTGGCTGGTGGGAAATTACAGAAGAAACATTGTTTGGGTGCGTCCCTTTCTAGAGTATATTTCAGAATTGAGTTGGGGGGGGAAGAAAGGTTTTTATATTAATCAAATGTATTAAAATATACACATAGATGTCAGGTAAGGGGCAATCTTACTCCTAGAGGATGGAGGGCAGGTTGTGAGAGCTTTCCACGTAGGGGTACTGGGGTGAGGGTGTGGGTGGCGAGGAAGTTTTTTTTTTTTTTATTGATTTTAGAAAGAGGAAGGGAGAGGGAGAAATAGAAACATTGATGAGAGAGAACATCGATTGGCCGCCTCCTGCATGCCCCCCACTGGGGATTTGGCCCACAACCTGGGCATGTGTCCTGATCAGGAATCAAACCGGGGGACCTCTTGGTGCATGGGTCAACCCTCAACCATCGAGCCACACGGGCTGGTTAATGGGAGGTTTCCAGAGGAAGGAGGAGCCCTTGCGGCCACAATGAATGGAGAATGAAATTCGCAGACCGGTTAGAAGATGACCGGACCGAGCTATGATGTGAGCTAGGGATCTTGGCGAGCTAGGGTCTCAGCCTGGGGCCTTGACGCGCAGCAGGGCGCTGGCTCGCTCCGGCAGGCGGGGGCAAGGCAAGCGCGGGCCGGGTCTAGCTGGCGGCGGCCAGGCAGCTCCAGCACGTAGACCTCCGCCAGCGAAGGCCCCACGTGGCAGGCCCTGGGGAGCGCGGGGTGGGGTGGGGCGGGGTGGGGCGGGGCCAAGCTGACGCGCAGGGTATATAACCGGGCATGCGCGGCGTGGAGGACCGACGCAGGCAGGGGGGCGAGGGCACGCGTTCTCCTTGTGGGGACTCCAGGACAGAGCTGCTGCGGCCGCCTCCGCTGCCACCACTCTGAGCCGCCAGAGGACTTGGCTTGTGAATTTATACGGGCCGGTGGCGTTTGTCTCAACTTCAGGTGAGAGGCGGAGAGCGTGCGGGAGGTGCCGTGCGGTGCCCAAGGGATGTGGCAGCACGCGGAGTGGCAGCGCGCCTCCGGGCTACGCTCACCGGGTGGGGGTGGGGCCCAGGCTGCGCCGAGGACCTGAAGCCCGGCCGCAGTCCCCGAAGCCTCGGGCTGGACTGGGGAGTCACTCTGGAGGACCCGCACACGGGCCCGGACGCTGGATGGAGGCGACACCTGGCTGAGGTTCCCCGATGAGGTTACTAGGAGAAGGAAGGGAGGTCGCAGCTGGGCTGGAGAGCTGGGGATTTGGGAGCCAGAAGGTACCCAGAACGTGGAAAGCCACGCTACAGGCTCAGGGAGGCTTCCTGGAGCCCGCTAACGTGAGGATAGAAAAAGTGGGGAGGAGATGGGCAAATCTGGTGGGCAGCTCATGGGTCGGCCGGGGTGGGGCACTGGTGTCCTTACCTTGCTTTCCAGCAACTGTGGCCCCCACCTCACCCCCACCCCCCACCCGGCCAGACCACATCCCAGCTGAAGATAAATGACGCAAACCCTCCTGCTGGCCGGTAGCAGGAGATGGAGAATGGCAAAGGAGGGACTAAGCTAACTGCGACCTGGCTTGCCCCATGAGCATGGCATTTTAGATATTTTTGGTTGGTGCCGACCAACTTAGGTGGTCTGGTTTAGGCTGCCCTCTCTTGGTGGGTTAGGGCAGTAAGGCAAAATAGCCTTCCAAGCGTTTCACCTTGTGATCCTGAGATCCAGTTAAGCCAAGAGAATTTCCTCAGCTCTGGATTGTGGCTAGCTTTGAGGGTTTAGTGTTTGCCAGGACCTGGGTATTCAAGAGGACTGTGGGAGCATGATTTGTGAGGGGCCTAAGGAAAGGTGGGAACAGGAGCAGCTTTGATCTGACCCTTCCTCCTGGAGCCACCCTGGGCTTGGGTTTGTCTTTAGTCACTGGTCCCTAGGAAACCTAGGCTACTTGGGCAGGCTGTGGGAAGTGTTAATGATAGCGTATAGTGGGTACTGGTCTTGCTAAACTGGCCTCTGTCCCAGCTCTGCTCCTAACTTGTTCTACATCCATGGGAAGGGGTCAGTGCTGAGGTTAGACTAGATCTATCATCTCTTATCCATTAATCCTTACCCCTTAAAACAAGAGCCACAAAAACTGAAAGGATCTTGAAGCAAGAGAGGGAATGTCTGGAATCATAATTTCCTAAAAAAAATTTTTTTAATGTTTTCATTGATTTTTTCTTTTTTTTTGAGAGAGAGAGAGAGGAAGGGAGAGAGAGAAACATTGATCATCTACCTTCTGCACGCCCCCTACTGGATATTGAACCCACAAGCGGGGCATGTGCCCTGACTGGGAATCCAACTGGGACCTCTGAGTCCATGGGACAACACTCAGTCTATTGAGCCATACCGGCTGGGCACCAGAATTATAATTTTTAACAGCTTCTTTTTCCTGTTGAAGACTCAGAGGTGAGTTTTTCATAAATTGTGTGGAAGCCAGGAGGTAGTGTAGTGGTGCTCTTCCTGCCATTTGGTTTGCAGGTTGATCTAGAGGGCACCAAACACAGGATGATTGGCCTTGTCATTTAGGCAGAGAGAAGCTCCATGATTCAGAGTGGTCATTCATCCCTCAGTATATAAATAAGTCACAGGGCCTGGTCTGTATTTGGCTCTGCACTGGCCACACAGGATGCAAAGAGGAGTTGAGGCCCAGCTCCCATACACTCTTGAGGCAGAAAAACCATACCCACATACATAAAGAAGGAGGTAGCAGCACAAGAGAGGTCCCATTGATGTGTTCAGAGTGCAGAGACAACAAACAGCACTCTGCTAAAAGGTGGTGTTGGGTCGCAGGAGAATGCCTGCTTTTGTGCCAGATGAATCTGTTCATATCCTGACCCCCATCACTATTGAGCAGGGAGAAATACTTAATTTCTGGGCCTGTTCTCACCACTCTGCAGCATGTTGTGATTGTGCCTGGAACGTAGCAGAGGTGGTCGTCTCCTCCTCCTCCTCCTCCTCCTTTTCATCATCATCTCTGTGGGATGGACTGGATTATTTAGGGGTCCCAGAAGCTGATAGATGGGTTGGCTTGTAAGAGTGGGATGAGCCCAGATTTCAGGTTGGTTCATCTCCTCCTTAGGAACATGGCTGCAGTTTCCTTGACTCTCTAGGTAGTCCTGTTTTCTGTAGCCTGCCAGGGATTCACTGGGCAAAGGGAAAAGAGGTTTTTTTTCTACCTTTAAATTTGGGAGCTACTCTGATTTCTTCAGGTACTGTAATAGAAACTCCTCTTTGGGACTGATAAAGACACAGGAAGGATGGACTATACCCACACATGTGTGCAGTGTATATCAGTCACTGGACTGGTTCTGTTTTTATTATTTTTTTCCCCCTTATTGATTTTAGAGAGAGGAAGGGAGAGAGAGATCTAGAAACATCAATGAGAGAGAACATCAATCAGCTGCTTCCTGCTTACCCCCCACCGGGGATTTGGCTCACAACCTGGGCATGTGTCCTGACTGGAAATCGAACCAGTGACCGCTTAGTACATGGCTCGATGCTCAACCACTAGACCACACGGCCGGACACTGGTTCTATTTTTTTAAACCCTTTCCACCTCCATCTTTCCTTACCTGCTCACACTCTATTCCAGGAGCAACCTCAATCCATGTCTAGTATATACAGGATCTTGGGATCTAAGTAGTATTGTGAATAGATTGTACATGTCTGGGAATTGGGACCCTCTCCCCATTCTGCCAAAATAATTCAGCCTGTTCGCACCAGATGCCTGAATAAAGTCATGCTCCGGTATTTTGCAGAGCCACAGACCATAGGGTGTTAAACTGGAGGAACTTTGGGAAGCTTTATGTCTAGACCCTTTGTTTTACAATAAAAGAAATGGGATTTAGAGAGGTTAATGGGTGTCCAGAGTCACATTGCTTATTAGCAGCCAAGAGGCTTGATGGAAAAGACCAAAAAAGTTGTTTTTATTCCTAAATGTGATGATGAAATTGCTAATAACCTAATCTTTTCCTTGAAAATGTGAAGAGGAAGGAGACAGTTGTCTCTGTGCTCATTTCAGGGGATGGCGGGCTTTGCTTATGTGGAGAGAAGTTTGTCCAGGAGAAGTCCTCTAACTTCTTTTTTCAGACTCTCTGGGGACATGGGAAGTTGGGCAGTGGGTGAGGAAGGGTCATAATTCAGGGCCCCAGCCAGGACTCACTAGATGTGTAGAGAGGACTTCTCTTACCTCGAGGTTGGTGAGCTGGCAGAATGCCAGCAGATAAGGAGTCCAGAGTCTGCTGCCAGCCAGGGGCCTCGTTCTCTCCCAGAGGACAAGCAGGGCAGCGTCACCACAAGGTCTCCAAGCCACAGGTGCCTCATCCCCATCCTTACTGTAGCTATGGAGGATCCCAGAGGAGACCCTTTATTGGGCCCAGCTGAGATCCAGAGGCAGAGCCCCCCTATGGGCCCTCTGGGACTTCCACAAAGGTGGAAGGAAGGGTGGCCACAGAATCAGCTTGCATGACCAGCCATGGGAAACCAAGTTCCTTGCCTTGGAAACTGGAGATCTAACTGCATGTTCAGGCCTCCTAATGTTTCTCCATCATCAGGCCCAGGAGAGTCTGGGGTTTGGTGGAATGAGAAGGTGACTGTCTTGAATTTATTACCACTGGGTCCCTAAAAGCCCTTGGTCAGTGCACTCAGTATCAGCCCTGGCAGGTGTGGCTCAGTTGGTTAGGCGTCTTCCCAAGCACATTCCTGCGTTTTGGGCTTGATCCTCGGTGTAGGGGCATCCAATTGATGTTCCCCTCTCACATCGATGTTTCTCTGTCTCCTCCCTTCCTCTCTAAAAAGCAATTAAAAAAATATACATTAAAAAAAAAGAACATCAGCCAAAAGTAGGGAATAAAAGAATTTATGTTTTAAACAATTTATTTTACCTTAAAAACAAGCATTTATTTTTATTTGCCAAAACTTTGATTTAGAGCTAAGGCCTTTTTTGGGGGAGGACTTATGTCCCCTAATGAGACTTGTAAGTTAATTTGTATATAAAAATCATACCACATGTGATTTCTCCTTTTTTTTTCCAATCCTCACCTGAGGACATTTTTCTGTTTATCTTCAGATAGAGTGGGAGGGAGGTAGAGAGAGAGAAACATCCATGTGAGAGGGACACATCGACTGGTTGGTTGCCTCCCACACAACCCAGACCAAGGCCCGGTGTCACCCACCTGGTTTTGCTGCTTTTCTGGGCCTGGAACTGAAATACAACTGAGGCCTAGATGTTATCTCTAGGGAGGTGTATCAGCTGTAAATTGCTCTGTCAGGTTGTTCAACTATCTGTCTCAGTTTCCCTATTCCACTTTTCCTGCATTACTGGCCTGTCTCAGTATGATGCAAATTTGATGGTAAATACTCAGTGGAGATACTGAGAACAAAATGAGGTAATCAATGAAAACATATATATTTTATTATTTATTTATGTATTTATTTATTTATTTATTTATTTATTTATTTTTAGAGAGAGAAAGGGTGGGGAGAGACAGAGAAACACTGATTTGTTGTTCCACTTATTTATGCATTCATTGGTTGCTTCTTGTATGTGCCCTGACTGGAGATTGAATCGGCAACCCCAGTGCATTGGGAGGACACTCTAATCAACGGAGCCACCTGGCCAAGGCTGAAAACATATATTTATACTCTAAATTTGCAACTTAGAAGTGTCTAGAAAACTCAAGACTACGTGGTACATATTCACCACACTTTCTGTAGCTTCTGGAAAGAATGAGAATGAAAAGCTTTTAACATCTTAGTACTAGAATAAAAATAACTTTTTTTCAGGTCTCTTCTGAAGTGGTTGCAGTGACCCAGGTATGATCTAAGATCACAATTTCAGAATTGCTGTTCTAGAGCACTTCATTTAATTTTGTAGAAATCAGAACATTTTCTTTCTGCATTTATATTTGTTACTCTTTAACTTAAGTGTAATCATA